TATATAAATATATAAATAGTTTCTGTTGCTTCTTTAGGGTGCAGGTTGTTTCTGCGGCTTCCATGCATCAATGTTAATGGCATATCTTCTGTCCACACACAAAGTGGGCAAAACCATGAATCCCTACCAGCTGTTGAGGAATGCACTGAACTTCTTGGGTAAGAGAGGTCAATTCTCGTAGCTTCCTAAAATTACGGTTGAACCACTGATGTCACATGGCCTATTTTATTGATGTGCTACGTTTCTGGACCTTGACTGTGATAGCTCCGTTGTTGTCTATGGAGGGTCAGAAAGCTCTAGGATTTCATAAAAAATATCTTAATTTGTGTTCTGAAGAGCTTCATAAAATTAAGGTTGAACCACTGTTCCACATGGACTGTTTTACCGATGTCCTTACTACATTTCTGGCCCTTGAACTTGGTAGTTACCTAGCTGGTATGCAGGGTCAGAAAGCTTTTGGGTACTGTGTATGTTTATTATGTATATATAAATACAAACACATGCATGGATATATTTAAGAAAAATATGTTGTTTATATATTAAATAAATTTATATATAATATAAATATATACATGTAAATATTTAAAAATATATACTATATGTGTGTGTATTTATATGTACATAATAAATAAACACAGTACACATACATATATTATGTAAACAAAAACTTATTTTGGATGCGATTAATCGTTTGACAGCACTAATGTGTATTAATCAATATATCTGCTTTTTGCTTTCACATTTTCAGCTTCCACAGATCTGACAGAGAACGGTATCACCTTGGCTAAAAACCCAGACTCAAAAGCGGTGAGCAGAAGTTACTCAAGCATTTATTTGCTGTTTTTAGCCTGTTTTGTCTCGGTTGCATCACCATGCCTTTCTTTTTCTTTTCTCCTGCTTCAGCCTTCACTGCCGGAGTTTCATGCAGCATTCTCTGTGGTATTTGTGGATCCGTCTGACGAGAATACTTTTGTGTGCAAAGAAAACAAAAATAATGACTTTATTCAGCAATTTCTTTTCCGGTCAGTCTCTGCCACCATTCAAGAGAGTACCAAGACACATGCGTGTGCATTCCTCTGCTTGTAAACAAGGCGCAGCGCAGCCGGCTCCTGCATCAGCAGCACCACACGCATACGTCGTGGTGCTCTTGTGAACGTGCATCAACTGACACGGAAGAGAAGAAATTGTTGAATAAAGTCATTATTTTTGTTTTCTTTGTGCACAAAAAGTATTCTCGTAGCTTCCTAAAATTACGGTTGAACCACTGATGTCACATGGCCTATTTTATTGATGTGCTACGTTTCTGGACCTTGACTGTGATAGCTCCGTTGTTGTCTATGGAGGGTCAGAAAGCTCTAGGATTTCATAAAAAATATCTTAATTTGTGTTCTGAAGAGCTTCATAAAATTAAGGTTGAACCACTGTTCCACATGGACTGTTTTACCGATGTCCTTACTACATTTCTGGCCCTTGAACTTGGTAGTTACCTAGCTGGTATGCAGGGTCAGAAAGCTTTTGGGTTTCATCACAAATATCTGAATTTGTGTTCTGAAGATGAACGAAGGTCTTAGGGGTTTGGAACGACATGAGGGGTGAACTTTTAGGTGAGCTATCCCTTTAAGCTGGAGGGACAATGAAACATTTAGCTGAACTTTAGATTTGTTTGACATTTAATTAATATTGTATATTTGTTTAATGCAATTTCTTTCCACAAAAATATTAAACAACTGCCAGACTGCTTGCTCTTGCAGACTTTTCTTTTTTTAAAGATACATTTTTTACATAATAAATAAACACAGTACACATACATATATTATGTAAACAAAAACTTATTTTGGATGCGATTAATCGTTTGACAGCACTAATGTGTATTAATCAATATATCTGCTTTTTGCTTTCACATTTTCAGCTTCCACAGATCTGACAGAGAACGGTATCACCTTGGCTAAAAACCCAGACTCAAAAGCGGTGAGCAGAAGTTACTCAAGCATTTATTTGCTGTTTTTAGCCTGTTTTGTCTCGGTTGCATCACCATGCCTTTCTTTTTCTTTTCTCCTGCTTCAGCCTTCACTGCCGGAGTTTCATGCAGCATTCTCTGTGGTATTTGTGGATCCGTCTGGGCATCTCAATCTGCTTGCAGACATGACAGCTTTTACCTACAAATGGGTGAGCACCGCTGTAGTATCACTGCAGCTCTGTGATAATGTGATTTTCACTTACTTATAGTAATGTAAATTTAACATGTTATTTTAGTAGCATTAAAATAAAAACAGTCCAAAAATGAACACAGTCAGGCCACCTGGCCAGTATATAAGAACTGCATAAGAGATTTTCTTACTAGTGGAGCAGTATTGTAGTCCAAGATTTACTTGTATGCCACAATACTTCTTTGGGGCAGTTATTATCATTATAAAAAAAAAAATTTTTGTTAATTGAAGTAAAGCTGAAATAAAATAAAATATTACAGGAAAATCTAAACTAAATGAAAATTAGAAATGTTTCCTTGGCAAATAACAAAAAAAAGTTCAAGTATTAAAATTGCTAATACTGAAATAAAAATTGAAAGCTAAATAAATATTAGATTAGAATATTACAAACTAATAAAAATGACAAAAATGCAACAGTATTACTAATATGAAAATGGTTTACTAAAGCAAAAATTAAAATTCAATAATTAAAATATTAGTAGATACTGTAATAGTGTATTAATAATACTTGTCACATATTTGTCATATGTTTCATTAATTTGATTAATTTATTGACATGGACTTTTTAATGATTTGACAGCCATAATCTGAATGTTTCTGAATAATCTGAATTTTGTCTGTCAGATTCAGCATGAGGCATCACTTTCTCTGACGTTCTGGGATGATCCAACAGTAGATGGCTTCCAGGCTCTGCTCATGACACCCAAATCCATGCTCCGAACATATGATAATGTCTTTAAGTAAGTTTCTGTCAACACAGACCTGCTGCTCTTTTGTTTTTGTATTCATGTATTCTCAAACTCTCTTTCTCACTCTCTTTGGCAGACTGGTTAACCTGGTGAAATTGCAGACCTCCTGTAAAAAGCTTTTACTCCTCAATGAGCTCATGGACCACAGCGGGAACTATGTCCTCACTGCACTTCCTTTCGTTTTGTCCCTCTTGCAGCGAGGGCTTGGAGAAAGGATCCACCTTCTGGTACACTCACTCCCTCAAGACCCTGAGGTAGATTCATTACCAATAACATTTCCTTTGGTTGGTCAAATTGTACTGCATAGGACTGGCTGGTTCACCTATCAGAGCATTCCTTAACAGTCTGGATATGTTGTTATAATCTATGTTAATGGTTTTGCAGTGGCCAGTGGACAGTGCACCTCCTAAGCACAAGGACCAGCCGCCTCTGAGCATTGGTTTGCTGCTGAACCTTGAACATGCTCTCTCTGTTCTCGAGAGAGGACCGCCAGCAGATAACCCTAAGGTAGACTAGCCCACATATGCACAGATGTCTTATGTGTATGTGTCTTACAGTTCTGTAGCGGTGTCTGAAAACCCTCTCTGTTGTTGGTGTTTGAAGGCAGCTGAGTTCCGGCAGCTGTGGGGCTCTCGCTCACAGTTGCGGCGCTTCCAGGATGGAGCCATCACTGAGGCAGTGCTGTGGTCAAGTAACTCCATCTCTCAGAGGAGATTCATTGTACTGAAGATCATTACTCACCTGCTTGAGCTGTACGTCTCTATTCTGGCTGTTACTTTACTTGAATACACAGTTTCTAAAGGTGTATTAAGTGTTTTAGCCAAGTCACAAGTTTTCTTTAAAGTTTATTTCAGTTAGTGTCTGCCGAACAGTTTTGATTATTCGATTTATTAAGTAGCAGTTGAATTTCATACCTTGGGCCCTGTTTTTAATGTTTAGAAATGATATTTTTGGAAATTTAAATTAAATATACATTTTAGGTGAAAAAAAAGCGCATAACAGAATTGCTAAAACAAAAAATACTTAAAATTCAAACTAAAACGGCAAAATAAAAAAAGCTGAATTCAAAATATTAATAAAAGGGTGGGTTTCTGTAGGTCTTATAAAGGCGAACAAAGTCTTAATTTGCCCTTGCATAATTTAAGGCCTTAAAAAGGTCTTAAATCAGAGCAGAAAGGCTTAAATTCAAGTCATGGAATTAAATGTTACATGCATTGCCAAAAATTAATCTTCCTCTGTAGTTTTGTTTTCCAATACAAATATATCCTTAAATCAAGATGCATTTACTTAAGATGCAAATGGGAAAAGAACCTGAGCAAAATGAGTTTATGCATAAAACAAATTAAATATCTGTCAATGGGGTATATGATAACTTGTTTTCCCTTTTGAATTAAGTTGATTTTTCCAAGCCTATTCTGGGCCTTTTGTAAATCATAAACTTAATTTTAATCAGTTTCACAATAAACAAGACTTCTTATCTAATGTCATTTGGCTTCTCAAGTAAATGTATCTTAATTTAAGAAACTTTAGACATTTGCTCTGGAAAACAAGACAACACAGATACTGTGGAAGAGCATCACTTTTTTCAGCATTATCAGAAGGTACAGTAAAAGTTATTAACATATTATAGTGGTTGGGAGCATCTTCATGATACACTGTGTTCTTTCTAGATCTTTACATTTAGAGAACATAACATTGTGTTACCTTCAATTTATTCCTTAAATTTTCCTAAAGTCTTAAATATACCTTCATAAAACCTGCAGAATAGTATGTAAATAATAGTTAACACTGATATGTAATAAAATGGATATCAATATTACTGAAGATACCCAAATGAGTCAGAATCTAATCAATTGTAATCAACTCAAAATTAAAGCTAGTAAATCAGAATTAACCTGAATATTCATTTCAAGGTAGTACTCTGGAACATTGTAGTTACTTTTTATTGTTACCGTTTTGTTTTCCCAGCTTTTCCTTGGCACATTTTTCCATTAACTACTTTCTCATAGAAATAAAAAAAGTGTTATTTGTTGTTTTCTAGTCATGCAGATATCCCCAACTCATGCATCATGTTTGTTGGTGGACAGCTGGATGTTGTCATTGGATGTGGCATACAGGTACTTTATAGAAGTGAATGTGGTACTCATTAAATGGTAATGATTCATCTGTACAATTTCATGGTGTGTCTTTGTCCCCCAGAACCACACTACAGGAGAGGAGGAGAGTCTGGAGGTGGTTCAATCTTACGATGATCTGAGCAAGAAGCTCTGGCATTTGAAGGATCTGCCACTGTCTATCACGTCAGTGCAGGGTGCCCACCAGGCCTTAAGATACACACAGGTCAGTCACCTCCTCGGCTATATTCAGTTGTGTGATATATTCATGTATATGTCTTAATTTTCCTCATTTGTCCTCCGCAGGTTTTCCCACCAGTTCCTGTGAGGCTGGACTATTCATTTTTTGACAAAAAGAAGAACCATCTTGGATTAGTGCCAAAGGAGGACCAACCTTGCCCTTGCTACATAGCCCCTATTAAAGGTAATGGATTTCTGACTTTTTTTAATGTATCTCAACACATCAAAATGGCATAGTTTCTCATAATTCTATGATATAGAATAGATAGATATACTTTAAGAGTTCTCCTTATGTGTTCCACAGAAGAAAATCATACAGGTTTAGAACAACACGAGTCAATAAATGTTAGCAAAAGTTAGCATCACCCTGATTCCCTCAACAACAACAAAAAACTATTTGCTTTTTTTTTTTTGACTTTGACTTTTGGATTATTGCCGAAAAACTCTATGACCAGTAGAAGTTTATAATTCTTACAAGATTTATTCACCCACAAAATCTTCACAAATGAACACAACTTTTATGAATTTTGAAACCTAAATACAAAAAGCTAAAGTTAGGATATGAATAAACTACACAGTCGAATGACCTTTACATCTCCAACACTAAGCTTCTGACAAGCAGATTTCATATAAAGATTAAAAGACAGTTAAAGAAAGTTAAAATTAGAATAGTTTGCAAGAATTAATGTCTTAAGATCTTTGCGAAATCTGAAATTCTCGTCTGAAATTTTGCTACGTTCAAAAATAAATACGACCTCACGTTGTGTCAATCACGTTTACACACTGCCTTCCAAACTTTTGTCCGTCATAAAAAAAAATTCGGATCAGGTTAGATTTTCTGCGTTTTCGCATCCGTAGCAAGCAATTTGATAGGAAAGGATGGCGAATAGGAAAAAAAACGCATACGAAAATTTCGGACTCAGTATGCAAGAATAAAACGTGAATATATCTTGAGCTTGTGTTTAACCATAGACTCAATTTCAAGCATTAAAGGGGTGGTTGATTATGATTTCAATTTTTTTTTATTTAGTTAGTGTGTAATGTTGCTGTTAGAGCACAAACAATGTCTGCAATGTTACGACACTCAAAGTTCAATGCAAAGTGAGATTTTCTTTTAAAGAAATTGCTGTTTAAGTACGACATGTAGCCTTCCCGAGTTCAAGTCCCCGCTCGCGGACCTTTCCCAATCCCACCCCCTCTCTCTCACCCACTTCGCTTCCTGTTGACCTACTGTCCTATCTAAATAAAAGGCATAAAACGCCAAAAATAAATCTTAAAAAAATAATAATAAATTGCTGTTTAAGGGCTACAAATAAAGGCTGCTAGGGACTACAACAAGCTTCTTCCTGGGTTTGTGACATCACTAGCCCCTATGTTTACATAAACCCTGCCCCTGGGAACATGCAACTAGCCGTAATGGTAAGAGTGCGTAACGTTTCCGGAAATAGACGGTTAGCTAATCACAACACACTGGGCCAGCTAACCAGTCTGAGCCCGATTGCATATTTCTGAGGGAGGGGCTTCATAGAACCAAGAACTCAACAAACCGTTTTGACGAGAATGGGAACAGCAGTGTTACCCATGTATAATAAAGGTAAAATATGTGAAAATAATGCTTTTTTTTTTTTTTTTTAAACGAAGCATGAATACATGTTCCACTGTACCCCATAAACAATCGAACCTTCGAAAAAAACTGATCAACCACCCCTTTATCCTAAAATCCAATTTTAAAAAATCTGTTGACTTGTTGGGCTGATGGAAGTGAAAGTGCAAAAAAAAAACTTTTCTTGCAGCACTCTATTTTGGGTTGATGTTTATTATGTTTTGAGCACAGCTCCACAGATATGACTTATTTGAATATGCGGTTATCTTTCATCCCCATTTGCCTTTTGTTTCTCTAGTCATTGTTCATATGGAGGGAAGTGGAAAATGGCCCAGTGAGCCCAAGGCAATACGCCATGTTAAAGCAGCCTTTCACATCTGCTTGAGAGAACTGCTGTGCAAACAACACAATTACAGATGTCATGCCACACCTGGCTACCTGGATGTGTGGAAGGTAACGGGCATTTATTCATATTTCTGTTGTTTTTCACATTTACTATACTAGTAATATGCTGTTCACATGAAGTTACACGCACAATCAACATAATTTCACCTTCATCCATTCAGGATGGGCTAGTCTTCCGAATCCAGGTGGCGTATCACAGAGAACCGCAGATCCTGAGGGAAAGCCTGACCCCTGAGGGAATGCTGATCTACAGGGACAACGCTGAGGCCCAGGCGCTGGAGCTGGAGACCCTGCACAAACCTTTTCTAACCAGCACCTTGCATGGGTACAACATACACATATACATAAACATGCAGAACACACTCATCCTTGTCTTGGCAAAGGGCTTGTTTAGATAAATGTATGACATGTTACATGTTAGGCTCCAGCAGCAGTATGGATGTTTTGGTGTCGTGTGCCGCCTGGCTAAACGCTGGTTGGCATCTCAGTTTCTGTTGGAAGATATCCGAGAGGAAGCAGCTGATCTGCTGGTGGCTTCACTCTTCCTACATCCTGCTCCTTTCACTCCACCAAGGTAATTTGGCAGTCTGACTCATGTAATCATCATCGTATGGTGTATATATACATACGGTGACACCACACCTTTTCACAGCTCTCCTCAGGTGGGGTTCCTTCGCTTCCTTCATTTGCTTTCCACTTTTGACTGGAAAAACAATCCCCTGATAGTCAACCTCAATGGGAAACTCACAGGTATTTCATGTTGCTTTTTAGGGCTTGCACGACTAACCATTTTTACTACTTTTGTTGTAAAAGTTGTCGACTAGTCAGTGGGTCAGTGTTTACTTTATATAAATGCAGTTTCTGCTGCATGGAAAGTCTGCATGGATGGGAAAGGAAAACGGTCATAAGTCTACTGACAGGTTCATGTCATGAACGGCGCAAAATAGTTATAGTTTTGATGTGCCTGGTGTGGTTTGCTTATAACATGTTTTTGTAATATACACTACCGTTCAAAGGACTTGAAAAGAATTCTCTTATGCTCACCAAGGCTGTATTTATTTTATTAAAAAATGCAGTAAAAACTGTAATATTGTGAAATATTGTTACGAATTAAAATAACTGTTATATTAAAATGTAATTGTATTATTATGGTGGCAAAGCTGAATTTTCAGCAGCCATTACTCCAGTCTTCAGTGTTACAAGATCCTTCAGAAATCATTCTAATATGCTGATTTGCTGCTCAAGAAACATTTCTCATTATTATCAATGTTGAAAACAGCTGTGCTGTTTGATACTTTTATGGAAACCAGGGTACATTTTTTCAGGATTTTTAGATGAATAGAAAGTTCAGAACAGCAGCATTTATTTGAAATAGAATTTTTTGTGACAATGTAAACGTCTTTACTTTGTCTTTTGATTTAATGGAGCCTTGCTGACTAAAAGTATTAATTTAAAAAAAATAAAAAATACTGACCCAAAAAACAGTAGTGACAAAATAGATTTCTCAGAGCTTCATTGGGAACCAGGAAATGTCCTCCTTTTATCGTCATGTGTAGAACAAGCACAACTGAAGTCAATTGATCCATGACTAGATCTAACACACTGACAAGTAGCAGAACTAATCATCTGTGCTCTCCCTGAAACATCTGTGGATATTGAAATGAGTGTTTTTATGTTTCAGCTGTTGAACAAACAGATATAAAGAATGACTTTGTGGCCTCTCGAGAATCTCTTCCCACCATGTTCATAGTCACTCCCAGTGACAAGAAAGTCTCTGTTTGGACTAAAGAGGCTCCTTCTGTGCAGGTTTGTAGATCCAGTATTCTCAAATTCTAATATAGATTTGCTCTATGTACAGTGTGTATAAACATAAGTGACGTTGTCATCTCTGTATAGATGCTCCAGCGTGCCATCATGTTGGCAGCAGAGAGTCTACGTGTTTTAGAGACTCAGCTCGACTCCGGTGAAAAGCAGGACATGCGGGTCAGTTCCTCTATATTCCACCTGTATAATGCAAATGTATGCAACTCTCATCTTTTTGTCTTTAACCTCACTGTTTGCTTTGTTTCTAGGTGGCATTTCGACCTCCTCTGGAGGCTTATGATGTTCTGATCCACCTTGACTCAAAGCAGGTTCCTCTGTTAGCTAAAGCTGTGGATCCTCCTGTCAATACCTTCCGGCGAGGCACCCATGGAGGACAACCGTTCGCTTCGGGAGGAGCTCTGCCAGTCATAGACTATGATCCGGTCCGACTGTATATGTCTGAACTCAGGGTTTGTTGTGGTTTTTAATTCACTTTTACTGAATCTTTTCCATTATGCCATGTTATACTTAAAATGCCACATAAATTAGATCAGATCTATTTTATACCAGTTCTCTTGTGATTTTTAGGAAGCATTTGGAGATCTGGCTCTATTTTTCTACGACCTGTATGGCGGAACTGTGATCGCAGTGCTGTGGAAGCCAACTGCCTTTGAGCCGAAACCCTTTAAGGTTTCTCATTTTTATTTTGAGCTTTTATTTACTATGACCCTGAGTAGGGTTGGCAGAATTGAAGTGAATTGAGTTACAGTTAAGATTTATGGCACCTTCTTACTTTTGATTTTCTGTGTTCTCAGACATCTTTAATGAACGCCCGCCGGGTGGAGGTGAATGACGATGTGGCAACCACCGTGCCAAATGTAGAAGCCATCCTGCAGGATTTCCGCATCATCGGGGAGGGTCTCGTCAAAAGATTGGAACTGAGAACAGAAAAATGGGTTGTCTAGGATCTGGCAGTAGTTTCTGTAGGAATAACTGTTGATCTGGATGTTGCTGTGTGTTTACTTGTACATTTTACATGTACATGTACTCGAATTGCTTCAATTAAATTCTCTGCAACTGCCTTTTAAAAATATTGCTATACTGTATTATTTTAATCAAGTAATAACAAAATGATGTTTTCCCTTCATACAATGAGTTGTGACCAAAAAAAAAAAAAGACAAGAAAAAAATCTTCATAAAGGCCACAATTTGTTTGGTTAAACATATTTTCCCCAAATTCTTATTACTGCATTGTGGAAAATAAACGAACAAGTTGTAGTATTTGTTGTCCTTTTTGCTGTATTTTCTCACTTTTTCTTAACATAATATTTTTTAAAAGTCTCACAAATGATTGATTTATTTAAACAAAAATACAGTTAAAATATTACAATTTTAAATATATATTTTAATGTTTTCCATTTTTATTTATAATATATTGTATTATATAATCTATATTAATATGTATTATTTTAATGTTTTCAAATGTAATTTATTCCTGTGATGGCAAAGCTGAATTTTCAGGCTGATTATTTACATTTACATTTAGTCATTTAGCAGCAGACGCTATTTTATCCGAAGCGACTTAAAAACGAGGATGTATGGAAAATTACAGGGCTTTTCTTCATAGGATCACTCATTTTTGTCTACAGCAGTATTATATTTTGTCCAGTAGGTGGCGGTGTGTGCCTGATGATTGTTTACGGAAAAAGAAAAGATGAAACGATTTCGTTAGACAATCTTACTAACCTAAACCGACATAGTACGGCTTTCAAGTGTTATGTGTAAAAAGGACATGTTAGTTGATAGTGTGATTGCAGTGCAGCTCGGACATCTCGCCGTTTAAAGAGAGACGACGTTTTTACGACTTACTATCAAACCTTCCTCACCATCGTTATTAAAAGTGGTTTTTAACGCTCTGCTGGCGTCTGGATGAAGAATGCGTATGTTCCGTGTGTTAATGTTGTTGATTCTTCATATGAACGCACACTGCATGTATCTGAACTGGACATCACATGACAGACCAAACATAGTCATGCTCATGTCTGATGCCTTCGTAAGTCACCCATTTTTACTCATTTTTCAGTAACTTTGCAGATTTACTGCTGTTTCAAAACCTAAAGCCACAAACCATAAGCAAAAGCTTATGTAGGCAGCTCACTAGGTTTTATTAAATAAAATGTGTGTTGTCTGACTTCTGTTTTCTTATTACTGAAGGATGGCAGGTTAACTTTTTCTCCTGGCAATAAAGTTGTACAGCTGCCTTACATCAACTATATGAGGGAAATGGGTGCAGTTTTTCTCAACTCATACACTAATTCACCAATCTGCTGTCCTTCTAGGGCAGGTAGAGTATTAGTCAGCCTCTGCATATTGTTATATATTGTGTACCAAAAGTTTTGTATTCATGCAATATAGAAATAAGATGAATACCTTGATGTATCTAAATGTGTTTTGGCAGCTATGTGGAGTGGCCAGTTTGTGCATTTGACTCAGGCCTGGAACAATTATAAATGTCTTGATCCCAATGCCACCACATGGATGAACCATTTAGGAAAGAGTGGGTACCACACTCATAGCATGGGGAAACTAGACTACACATCAGGACATCACTCTGTCAGGTGACCTTTTTTTATAACCCCAAAAATGTATTTGGACACTCAAATATAAACATTTCTCAATTCAAAAGTGGGTCTGCCATATTTTTTATGTCTTTAAAAGAAGACTCACCAAGGCTGCAGTTATTTGAAAATACAGTAAAATGGTAATATTGTGAAATACTATTACCATTTAAATGAACTGATTTCTATTTGAATATATTTTCAAATGTAATTTATTTCCGTTATGTAAACGCTGAATTTTAACTGTCACATGATTTCAGAAATCATTCTAATATGCTGATTTATCATGTTTTAAAAATTATAAAACAATAAATATACTGTTTTAAATGTAGGAAAAGAACTGTTCTGACGTCTGGAACTTCTCTGTTGTTCAGTAATCGTGTGGAGGCGTGGACCAGAGACGTTCCATTCCTGCTGAGACAAGAGGGCCGTCCAGTCACAGATCTGGTGGGTGATACATCCACAAAAAGGGTGATGACTAAAGACTGGAACATCACTGATGCTGCCGTCCAGTGGATCCGACACACTGCTGTGTCTCTCGCCCAGCCATTTGCACTATACGTGGGGCTCAATCTCCCCCACCCGTACCACACAGACTCCCTGGGACCCACAGCCGGGGGTTCCACCTTCCGCACCTCCCCGTATTGGCTAAACAAGGCAGGTTGCTTTACCTGATCTAATGGAGACATGAATAACCAGTAAATTTCAAAATCTCAATCGAATTGAAGTGTTAAAACATTTAAGATTTTTGGGATTTGACTCCATTTGACTCCAAATTGAACAAGGCTTGAAACCTTAAAGCAGTGTGTTTCAGAGGGAAACAGTTGAATAGTAAAAGGAAAGTAAACTAGGAAAATCCACCCACTGTTTAACTATTCCCTTTATTTTCAAAATAGAACAGCAGAATTTGATCGTAGATCTTCGCCCGTTAAATTAAAATAAAAATAGTGACAGACATAATTAACTTGAAAAAGTTTGTCCATTTTGTAATTAAAGTGAAGTGACGTGACATGTGGCCAAGTATGGTTACCCATACTAGGAATTAGTGCTCTGCATTTAACCCATCCAAAGTGCACACACACAGCAGTGAACACACACACACCGTGAACACACGCACCCGGGGAGCAGTTGGGGGTTCGGTGCCTTGCTCAAGGGCACCTCAGTCGTGGTATTGAAGGTGGGAGAGAGAGCTGTACATTCACTCCCCCCACCTACAATCCCTGCCGGTACGAGACTCGAACCCACAACCTTTGGGTTACGTGTCCGACTCTCTAACCATTAGGCCACGACTTCCCCGTAATTACAACAGTTCCACACATATTACATACATTACACAAACAAATATTCAAAAAAAAAAAGAATATATTCTAAAACTGGGATTCTAAAACTGCAATAATTAAGAACCGTTTTGTTTTTGTAATTAAATTAAAGCTAAAATAAAATATAAATATTAGATAGAAAAACTTTAAAAAGAAATGTTGCCTTAGCAACTAACCGAAATAAAATAACTTGAAGTTAACTAAATTTACTAAAAAGTAATTAAACCTATATAGAAAAGTTTTTTTTAACTAATAAGAAAATTACATGACAAAATGAGTAGCATTTAAACAAAAATTAAAATGAATACTTAAGACATAAAAATGAAGGTTAATTCAAAACATAATTAAATATTATAATAGCATATAAATAATATAAAAAAAACTGCTGTTATTATGGTTGCATATTTTTGGTTCATTCTAATTATTACTGATTTTATTCACAGCATGTTCACTAATAACAGTCAGTGGCAGTTTATCTGTAGCAGAAGTTTATCTGAGGTACTTTGACAATGATTGTGTTTTGTCTCAAAGGTTTCTTACGATCAAGTGTCTGTTCCGAAGTGGTTACGGGTTGAAGACATGCACCCTGTGGATTACTACTCCACCTTCACCAAAAATTGCAGTGGCCACTTCACAGAAGAGGAGATCAGAAACATTAGAGCCTTTTACTATGCCATGTGTGCTGAAACAGACAGCATGTTGGGTGAGCAGCCACTATACTATACTATACTATACTGTACTGTACTATACTGTACTATACTATACTATACTATACTATACTGTCATTATGTGTCTGTAGGTGAGGTGATAGATTCTCTCAGAGACACTGGCTTACTGAGCAGGACAGTCGTACTGTTCACTTCGGATCATGGGGATCTAGCAATGGAACACAGGCAGTTCTATAAGATGTCCATGTTTGAGGGCAGCTCTCATGTCCCCCTGCTTATAATGGGCCCAGGAGTGAAGACTGGCTTTGAAATCAGTCTACCTGTATCTCTAGTGGACATTTATCCCACTGTGCTTGGTAAGGGTGGGAACTGGTTGCTCCACTTGTATTAGTATAATATGTTGTTATAGGCAGAGGTTCAGTTATTCAAAATAAAGCTTGGCTTGATATTTGGGTGAATCTTAGCAAAAAAGAGTTCATACAGCCCATAAACCACCACCCTGTTTGGCCTATACGCTACCAGTCAAAAGTTTTTGAACAGTAAGATTTTTACTGTTTTTTTTTTTTAAAGAAGTCTCTTCACCAAGCCTGCATTTATTTGATCCAAAGTGCAGCAAAAACTATATTTTAACTATATAATATTTTTACTATTTAAAATAACTGTTTTCTATTTGAATATATTTTGAAATGTAATTAATATATTTTAAAATGTAATTTATTGTGATTTCAAAGCTAAATTTTTAGCATCATTACTCCAGTCACACTATCCTTCAGAAATCATTCTGATATTCTGATATTCTGATTTGCTGCTCAAAAAACATTTATTATTATTATTAATTTGATAACAGCTGAGTAGAATTTTTTCAGGTTTCTTTAATGAATAGAAAGTTCAGAAGAACAGGATTTATCTGAAATAGAAATCTTTTGTAACATTATAAATGTCTTTATCATCACTTTTGATCAATTTAAAGCATCCTTGCTGAATACAAATATTAATTTCTATAATTTCTTTCCCAAAAAAAACAAAAATTTATACTGACTCCAAGCTTTTGAATGGTATAGTGTACAATGTTACAAAAGCTTTTTATTTCAAATAAATGCTGATCTTTGGCTCTTTCTATTCATCAAAGAATCTTGAAAAAATATATATAAATATTATTATTATTTATTTTTTTATTTTTTTGGAGGGGATGAATTATGACCTGGAAATGATTTGATCTGTTTCCATCTGCGCTATATGCTTTGGTTAGATCTTGCTGGTGTTCCGCAGCCAGGGGGTCTCAGTGGTCACTCGCTGATCCCTCTGGTTTCTGGGGTCAGCGCCCAGTCAGCGGAGCCTCATCCCGGCTGGGTGCTCAGTGAATATCATGGTTGCAATGCGAATGCCTCCACGTATATGCTGAGGATCGGCGAGTGGAAGTACATCACATATGCAGATGGATTGACCGTTCTCCCACAACTCTTTAGTGAGATTCTTCTCATGATAGTACTGCTGATTATGTGTAATAATATATATCTTATTTTGCCCAACAGGGATGTGATGTCCTTGCTATATATAACTGCCTTAAGTAACTGGTTTCGATGTTCTCTCCACATAGACTTGTCCAAAGATGAATCAGAATTGAGAAATGTTGCATCACATTTCCCTGATGTATGTCAGGACTTGGACAAGCTGTTACGCACTGTTGTGGACTATCCCAGTGTCTCCCAAGCTGTTCACCGCTACAATAAACAACAGTTTCTGGAATGGAAGCAAAACCTAGGAGACCGTTACTCCCAGATCATAGCCAACCTGCGATGGCACATTGACTGGCAAAAGGATGCCAAGTCCAATGAGAGAGTTATTGAAGAGTGGCTGTTAGGGTTGGATTGATCATCCGTTATATAACTGTCAGTGATCAGCACAAACAAGAGACTGTTCATGTTCCTATTTAAAACAAAAATAAAACAATGTGATCTCCAAAAGTCAAGGCTACCCAGACAATGTACTTGAAATATAGTTTAATTGCACTCTACTTGTGAAATAACCTAAAAGATATTATTTTATTATTTTTATTTGGATTTAATCGTTTAAATAAAGGCAATGCCCTTAATTATTGATATAGCAAAATATATATAGTCAAAAATGATTTATATAGCACATTTAAAAGCAAATTGACAAAAAGACAAAAAAAAAATATATATAATATGTGACCCTGGACCACAAAACCAGTCATAAGTCGCTGGGGTATATTTGTAGCAATAGCTAAAAATACATTGTATGGGTCAAAATTATAGATTTTTCTTTTATGCCAAAAATCATTAGGACATTAAGTAAAGATCATGTTCCATGAAGATATTTTGTAAATGTCCTACTGTAAATATATAAAAACTTAATTTTTGATTAGTAATATGCATTGCTAAGGACTTCATTTGGATAACTTTAAAGGTGATTTTCTCAATATTTTGATTTTTTTTTTTGCACCCTCATCTTCCAGATTTTCAAATAGTTGTATCTCGACCAAATATTGTCCTATAATAACAAACCATACATCAATGGAAAGCTTATTTGTTCAGCTTTCAGATTATGTATACATCTCAATTTTGAAAAATTGACACTTAAGACTCGTTTTGTGGTCCAGGGTCACATATATTTTAAATAGGAACACGAATATATCTATCTATCTATCTATCTATATATATATATATATATGTATATATATATATATATATATAAGTAAGCTTTTCCTTTAGGCAAAAATATAATTTATTGTTTTAATTTTGGGATGAATTCTAACCTGGAAGTGTTTTCATCAGTGTTTCATCATATGTGTTGCTGGTGTTCCACAGCTTTTAGATAATAGTATGATGGTATTTTTATACCATGGATTTAAATAATATTATTCATATACCAGGGTATTTACATAACACTCCAAGTTATCTACAAAAAAAATAACAAAATACAACGGAATTAACATGGTTGTTTTTTAACAGATTCCCAAAGGTAATCAACAAGTGGAGGTGATGGAACATAGTTTATGTATCTATCTATCTATCTATATATATATATATATATATATATATGTATGTATATATATATATATATATAAGTAAGCTTTTCCTTTAGGCAAAAATATAATTTATTGTTTTAATTTTGGGATGAATTCTAACCTGGAAGTGTTTTCATCAGTGTTTCATCATATGTGTTGCTGGTGTTCCACAGCTTTTAGATAATAGTATGATGGTATTTTTATACCATGGATTTAAATAATATTATTCATATACCAGGGTATTTACATAACACTCCAAGTTATCTACAAAAAAAATAACAAAATACAACGGAATTAACATGGTTGTTTTTTAACAGATTCCCAAAGGTAATCAACAAGTGGAGGTGATGGAACATAGTTTATGTAATACTTCGTACTACCGAAAGGGGGTGATATAAAAAGCCAAAACTTTAAAACCCAGAAGATAATCGTGAAACGCGTGTGTACAAGCGACAGCAGACGCAGTATGTCAGAGCAACAGTGTATTGTTGCTGTAGACACGCAGTATTGATTTCACTTCTAGTGCAGCACTGGTCACGTGAATCTCTTGGAGTGAGGATCAAAGACTTGAAGGCAAACGCGATCGCTGCATGTCGTCATTTGTTTGATCAGATGTTTGATACCGGAGTAGGATGGGCTTTCGCACCTGGCACTGTTTACATCAGAGCTTAAGCGACTTCGAAGCTAGTGTTTGTGTTTAGTATGTTTAAATTATAACGCGATCTAGTCAAATTAAAAACAGGACGACTGCGGACTTTTTTCCTATTTTTCCCTGATGTCGGACTGCAGCTCGTCGGGTTCAGATGAGGATTTGGACCCGGGGTTAGAGCTGCTGGACGAGCTCGGCGGCACGCTCAGTAAGGTAAACACAAGAGTACTGTAAAACAACACACCTTTACAACGTTTTTTAGTGTGCAACAGTATTTGGGCTTGGATTTGTGGAAACTAATGTTAGTGAGTTACTTTCGTTTGCTTTTATTTATCTGAAACGTCGCAACTTGTTGGAAGTTTTGTGACCACGCATGTTTGCCCTACCATTACAACCAGTAACATACGAGCGATGTCTGAATTAAACAATACGGTCTACTTTTCAGTGAGTGGTTTTGTGACAACCGCACTTAAAGATTCGTTTGCGAATCTGACTGATTCGGTCCGAGCGGTTATCGAGTCAGCACCTCATAAATCCTAAAATCATCGCTTTCAGACATGTCAAACTAGCCGTGGTAAGTTGTGAAGAAATATTAGTAGCGTAAATGCAATAAATATTTACGTTCTAAATGACTTTGTAATGAGTGTTTTAAGGTGCATTCACATAAATTAAATCGCAGTAAACGCCCTAAACAAACTTAGTCTAATATATATATATATATATATTTGTACGTATTAGAGCATGTTGCATCCTGACATAAATTAGTCTAACTTTTTTCTGATTCGCGGGGAAGAATCACATCATGATGATCCTACTAAATTAATGTATTTCTTTTATATTTTTTTGGATAATTGTTTTATGACAACATAATAGCAGTCATTGGCTACATGACTTGGCGTTTTAGGGAAAGCCTTACATTTTTACATTTCTGTGAAAGAGTACGTCAATACATTTGCCATTTATAAGTTAATTTTATAATTTTATAAAGTCTTTCATATTTGTGGCAATTTGTGTCAAAAACAAGCAGTCATTGGCTACAAGGCTTGGCATTTTAGGAAAAGCTGTACATTTTTAATCTCTTTAATATATATGTTTTATCTTCTGGGTTTTTGACACAAGTTGTGTTATGAAATTCCATTCAATTATTGTAGTTTGGGTAATGTTCCATTTAAAGTCCTGCTGAACTTTGAAGCCTTGAACCTTCAGGAAGGTTTAATCTTTATGTTGCAAGTACTTGAAGTGATAACTGTAAGCCACATGATATGAAGCATGATTCGAATAACTAACTCTCTGTTTGTCTCCAGTGGACAAACTACATTCATGGATGGCAGGACCGCTGGATTGTGCTGAAGGGCAATATTCTGAGTTACTACAGGTCAGCAGATGAGAAAGAGTACGGCTGTAGAGGGTCCATCTGTCTCAGCAAGGCTGTCATCACGGTAAGGCTGATCTGATCTGATCTGTAGAGCATCCTGTCATGTTTATCTGTATGATTATCAGGGGCTTATCTTGACTGCAGTATCTTGGCTTCACAGTGGTGTGAAGAGCTGATATGTACCACAGTGTGAAAATATTTGAGCAGTAATGCTTCCTGCTCATCATGCAGTGTTTATCCGTCTGCTACTGTCAGCGGGAAGCTGTCGTACTTGTTTTGGGGGTTTCTCTTGAACAGCATGATTGTTTCAAGGTGGACAGAGGAGAAGATGTGGTTAAGTAGCAAATACAAGGGGACTCCACTACTTACTTTGAACAGACATATCCTAGTGTCATCCATACTAAACATCCTGCAAAACCACATCTGAATACTTATCATTATAATGTGGCTTAAAAGACAATTATTTAGAAAAAATCAGAAAATGTTATTGATCTGACTGTACTGACATTATCAGATGACAACACAACAACTTGAGTTGAACTGAGCTGCATAATGACAATGAGTTGCTTTTGAAGATGTTTCATAATCGATTAGCTTTTCAACATTGACACAGTTAAGAGAGATTTAAGCTGGGTAATGTGAGCTGCTTTGTGGCTGTAATTGCATTTTTTATAAATGATGAATTTTGCAACTTGACACTGTAATTAAACTAAACTGAATCAGCATTGAACTGACTTGAGCTGAATAATGTCTTCTGTAAAGTTGCTTTATGGCTGACAGTGAAGTCATTTCATAATTGATGAACTTTGCAACATTAACACTGTTATTTTCCTGTTTATTACTGTGAAGCTAGTTTAAAACAATCTGCATTGTATGAAGTGCTATAGAAATGCATGTGACTTGACTTCTCAGAGGTTATTTTTTGTACAAATAGATAGATTTCCACTTTTCTTTGATACTGGGCCAGTTGATTCTTTAATGTCATTTGTTTTTTTTTGTTTTTTTCTCCTTTCAGAAAGATTATATTTTCTGCACAATGCAAGTTATTTTATGTGAACTTTATTCCAGTCTTGCTTTTTTTTTAAATAAATAAAGTAGTATAATAGTATAGTAAAATTTTTTATATAATGACATTTTTTTAATGTCATTTGTTTTTTGTTTTTTTTCCTTTTAGAAAGATTATATTTTCTGCACAATGCAAGTTACTTTATGTGAACTTTATTCCATTCTTGCTTTTTAAAAAAATAAAATCAAATAGTATAGTATAAAAGTAGTATAATAGTATAGTATATAAGAATAGTAATCAAATTTTAATTATGTCTATGAGCTGGAGTTCTGCATGTAGTGCAGGTTGTTTCAAGTGCAGAAGTTTGGCAGCAAAACTACAAGGAAATGTCCAACAAAGCACATTTTGTCTTTAGGTTGACACACTATTGCTGCATTGTTCTGGTACTGAGTGATTTGAAGTAGTCTTGAGGATTAGAACAGGGAAAGCAGAACCACAGGAACGTGCATATCAAATATCTCATTGTGAAAAAGGTGATCTGGGAGCAGTTCTTGCTTCGCCTGTTCCAATAAAAATGGGCATATGTAAAGAAAGAAGACCAGTTTATAAAGTATTGTTCCTATTAATGCCTTGAGACCTTTGTAGTGTTTTCTAGGGGATGTTCTTTGCTCTAAAAAAGGGCTGCTGTTAAAGATCATGGACAGTTTAGATCAAGATCTCCAAAAGATTGTTTTAGAATCCAGTTTGGATTGTTTTGACCAATTTTTGGGTGAATGAATTTCTACAAACACTTACTGCACATGTGATCAAATATGAGTGGAACAATGATGCCTGTGAAACAAGGCTTAGAAATGCTGGGAGTCTTTGAAGCCGGTCTGATCCCAGAGTCAAATCTGGAATATCAGTGTTTGGTTGATTTCAGTGTTTGGAGGAGGAGAAAACAGAGATGATCTGATAATGGAACAGATGTTCCTCAAACACTGATCTGGCCTGGATCAGTGCTCTGTCTCTGATAACAGCTATTCTACACAGCACTAACAATTCTGTGTCTGTGTTCAAAAGACAACAAACCAGTCCCATTACTAGTTTTACCTAGTAGTAACCACTACGCATGCAGAAAACACTTACTACAAAGTATGTCCACAGTCTACTATGCAATGCATGAAAAATTACCACACCAGATATTGTGAGCACAACTTAAAACTTTAGTCTTTTCAGCTTGATGCACCTGTTTATTTTTTTGTACCTCTTTCTTTTTATTAGAGTTAAAGCAGTGTATTTATTAAAACTTTTAAGTACAATTTTTTAGTACACCGTTTAATAAAGTTTTAAAGTATAAAATGTATTAAATAAAGTATTAAAAATGGCTGTTAAACAGTGGTTTTCCAACAATTTTCCCACATTCTTTTATGTAAAATTGTACATACCCTAAATTATTTGGGGTAGGGATAGGTTTAGTACCTTAAAATATTCTAAAGTTTGCATTTTATAAAAGTATAGAATATAGCTTCTCGTATTTTAGATGTTATAACCTGATCCTAAATTGGAAAAAAAAGTTATTTTAAATAATTATTAAAGATTTTAATTGGCTAATTATATTTAAATATTTAAATTAATAAAGGTTTCAGCTGTCTTCAATGACAGTCATATGTCATTGTATGTAAGTGTTCAGTGCAGCTTCTTAGCAATTGACCAGTTGGTTCATTTAGGTTCATCAGATAAAAATATCAATACTGTAGTAGCTAATTATGAAAAAAAAAATGGCAATCTGGTAAAATTGTGCTTTGGTAAAGATGTAAATTCCAAACTATGGATCATTTGTGCACTGCTTAAAATAGCTGGTGGCTTCCCCTAGTTCAAATTAGGGTTGGACTGCGGCTCTCTAGGACCGAACTTGCCTACCCCTGCCCTAGTTTGTGTATGAGGTGGTCTGCTGTTTTTGTTTTACTGTTATCTGCCACCTTTAAATGTTTGAGATTTTCAGTGACCTATTCAGTGATGCAAATCTATGTTGTGGTGGCGAGGAGTTGTTTATCAGGAACGGCAGGAAAAGGTGCTCCAAAAACATAATGGTAGACAGATTTGAATAAACATACATGGCCCATAAACTTTTTCCATTTTCCAGCATGTTCATTATGATCTGTTCTTGTTTTTGATGTTCTCTTTCTTTCAGCCTCATGAGTTTGATGAATGCCGTTTTGACATCAGTGTGAACGACAGCATCTGGTATCTGAGGGCTGAACATCCTTTGCTCCGACAGCAGTGGATCGATACCATTGAACTTCACAAGGTGAGTCCGTCAGAAGCAGCAAAGCCTCTAGATAAACTGCCGCTCGGCTCCAGTGTCTTTCTGATAGTGAGGGATCAAGTTTGGGTGGCAGAACCTGATTGGGTCTTTTATTTCTTTTGTTGAGGCTAGGAAGGTGTTGAAGGCACAGTTGAGTGGAATGTGTCCCGCATAGGGTTGGGTACCGAAACCCGGTACCAATATGGCACCGGTACCTATACTTAATTATTATGAAAATACCAGATGGCTTGAATAAAACAGAAAAACTATATTGTCTCAGTCGAGTGTTTATTGTCTTTGATTTATCAATCAAAACGTTTATACACTGAACAAAATTATAAACGCAACACTTTTGTTTTTGCCCCCATTTTTCATGAGCTGAACTCAAAGATCTAAGACTTTTTCTATGTACACAAAAGGCCTATTTCTCTCAAATATTGTTCACAATTACACTTGCTCTGATGGCAGCAGGTAGCCTTCCGTTAACTAAGCTAAACATGCTTAAATTAAAATGCCTAAAGCTAAACTTCCCTTGTATTCATTTCTAAACCTGTTGTCCAACAAAAGAGAACATTATAACCTTTGTACTCCACAACACCAGTCAAATGCTTCCTTTTGTGGTCTGATGTGGCTTCTTGTCACAGAATGAGGCAGAAAATATGTTCCACAGGCTACTTTAAAAAAAATACATCGATTAGCAATGGATTATAAGTATACTTAATTATTATGAAAATACCAGATGGCTTTAATATAACACAGATAAACTATATTGTCGCAGTCGAGTGTTGTCTTTGTTTTATCATTCAAAATGTTTATATGTTCTGTTTACTCAGTTACAGCTATAATAGCGATGCCTTTGTCCATATAAGGGATTTCCTGGAGGGTCATGAGTTCCGCTACTTCT